TGTTTCTAGTTGTATGTTGACACCTATAGTATGTTACCCGGCATCCCTTTATGTGACCCCCTTATACACGACGATATGTTTAAACCCAATTATACGCCCCTTCATTTCTCCACCATTTTGTTGTATAATGGGACGGTGCCTTTATTCACTCTTAGATCCGATAACCGGGCGGTCGATTGAACATTTACACAGGGAATATGTTACCATTGACTGACTAGATATGTTAACAATACACACGGGGATAGCTGGGACCGTAGACTCGAAAGATAATTTAGTGGAGATGTTTCCAGTTTAATCTCAGTATTTGAATTCATCCAAGCTGTAAGACTTGTCCATCTTTTATAACTAATCCTGAAATGATATGAATGTCAATCATCTGTCAAAAAAACGGGTTCGACAAAAATACATCCTGTTTCGGACGATGCAGATGGAATGTTCATATCGCTTTTCTACATGAACACTACACCATGCCAACTATGAAATTAAAACGGTTTCCCTAATAAAAAGAAATGCTTGAAAGATTTTCAATACAAAATTTAGATAGACCGTTAATAAGGAAAAGCCAGAAAGAACTTGTATCAGTCTTAATTAACTCTTTTACACAAAATTGAACATGTCCTAACTAAATAAATAAAATTGTAAAAACAAAATAAAATCATAATCGGATAGGGATAGTTTTAGTTTCACAGAAAATTGTTTTAAAACCGTGATTTTGATGAAAACTTACCGTGATGTAAATGATGAAACTTGGTACAATGTAGCCAAACAGTGTCTTATGATTAGGACACACCTTTTAATTTTTCAGTATTGAGACGCATCAGAATATCCTACAGTGACCAAACACAAATCACCGTCTTCATATCCCTACAGAATATTATACTGGACCGAGTCACAGCGATTGGGCCATTGACTTTCACTGCACATTTATATATAGTATAATCGTAAGTCCCACATACACACACTCAAATACGAAAAACTCTGTCTACGACGACTTATGTCAGACTCTAGATCGAGTCAGCATACATTATGATAAAACTTTGCTCGTTGGAGATTTAAATGTCGACATGAACGTTAATGACAATATATTCTCCAATATTTGTGATATCTTTCATATGAAAAACACAATTAAATCTCCAACATGTTTTATGAAAAAATCGCAGCCCTCATCTGTTGGTGTCATTTTAAGCAACAGTACATCTTTTTTATTTAATACGTTTGCTTTTAACTATGGTCTTAGTGACTGGCATCATATGATTGGGACTGTTTTTAAAGGGAAATGTAAACCAGTAATGAAAGAAAAGAGGAAATATAGATGTTTTTAAAATTTTGACAAACAAACTTTCAGTGATGATATAAGTAAAATCCCTTTCCAAGCAACTTATGCTTTTGATGATGTTGATGATATTTATTGGGCCCATGAAACCTTATCACTGACATTATTGATGAACATGCTCCTGTAAAATGTATGCTTTTTAACAAATATACTGGGTGCAAATCAGCCTCTAATAGGGAGGCATATCTAAACCATAGGAATTATGTGTATAAATTACGTAAACAATCTATGCGCAGCTATTTCTTCGAACGCTATGCAGGTGGTCTCAAATCAAAAGATTTCTGACCCACAATTAAACCATTTTTATCAAATAAGGGCTCTGCACAATGCAATAATGTAATTTTGAAGGAAAATGAGGCCATTATCAGTGATCAAACGGAGGTCAGCAATGTTTTTAATAATTTTTATGTAAGTGTTGCTTCTGATAATGGTACAGAAGATTCTTCTGATGAAACCATTTTAAAAGAGATAAGGGCACACAATAATGATAAGTCAAAGTTTTGTTTTAATCATGTCTCTCCTTTCGTGGTTGAAAAGGCTATCTCTAAGGTGGAAGGCGAAGAAGGCCACTGGTATCGATGGCATATCTTCAAAACTCCTTAGAGCCTGTTGTACTGACATCAGTGTGCCTCTGAGCGACATGATTAACCACTGTTGTGATAGATCAGAGTTCCCTTGTAACCACTGTTGTGATAGATCAGGGTTCCCTTGCAGACTCAAGGAGGCACAGGTAGTTCCTGTTTTTAAGAAAAAGGATATTTTAGATAAACAAAACTACCGACCAGTCAGCATTTTACCTTGTATATCGATTTTTTTTTTTAAAAAACGTGTGTGATCAACTGACTGCCTTTTTTAGTAATGTGTTTTCATCCTTTCCTTGCAGCCTTCCGACCACGAATTGGGTGTCAATCCACCCTATTGCAACTTGTTGAGGATTGGCGTAGAGCCCTGGACAACCACGAGTATGTCACTGCCATACTGATGGACCTATCCAAGGCTTTTGACTGTCTTCCTCATAACTTGTTGGTCGGGAAGCTGGAGGCCTATGGCCTGAGTAAAGGCTTCAACTGCGGTGACTGGCTGGAAGTGCTGAAGGGGGGTACCCCAGGGTTCTATTTTAGGACCCTTGCTTTTTATTGTATTTGTAAATGATGTTTTTATATGTGACATCCTGTACATTATATAATTATGCAGACGACAACACTGTCAGTGAATCAAGACCCAGATGCTTTAAAACATAATATTGAAAATGACCGTCAAAATTTAATAGACTGGTTTTAATTAAACAAGATGAAAGCAAACCATGATAAGTTCCAGGCCATTTGTATAGGGAAACGTTCGGTAGATGCTATACAGTCTTTTAGTATTGGCGAAATAGATATTGTTCCTGATTTGATTCATTTTTAAACTTTGAAGCTCATATGTCTGAAATTTGAAGGAAAGCCTCAAGGCAATTGTCCATTTTAAAGCGAATTGGGAGTTTTTTTTAACCAAACAAGGTAGACTTTATAATTCATAATTCTTTTAGCCTGGCACTCTTGTTCCATGAAGAGTGTCAGAAAGCTAGAAAAGATTCAAGAAAGAGCTTTAAGGTTTATACATAATGATCACATAACTCATCCTTACACTTACTCAGTATTACCAACAGCGACAGGCTTCATTGTAAGTCGTCTGAAGGAAATGGGTTATGAGGTTTTTAAAATTATAAACAAAATCCTGAAAATACTCATAATCTTGTAAATATTAAGATGTCTAATTATGGAATGAAAATACTGCAGAGGTGCCCAGGGTCAACACTGTGAAGCATGGACATTAATCGTTTGCTTTTGAGGCCGCCCGGGTGTGGAACAGTCTCCCAAATGGCTTCAGAAAAGTTGAAAACTTCAAAGAATTTAGGAGGCTGGTCCATTCCTGGGATGGCCCCATCTGCCTTTGCAATATCTGCAAAGAGTGATACTTCATACTGTGCCCTGGTTACCTCTGCCACCTGACATTTTGGATTGTGTGATACTTTTATTGTCTTATCTCATTTTTTACATGTTTTAATTCTATTCTATATTTTTGCTGCATCTTATTTGTATTTTAATTCCATATATTATAAAAATGTTTTTTTTACAAAACTTGATAAATTTTGTTAATTGATTTCGGTAATATTTTTAATTCACACTATGATAGTGTATATTCTGTCAATTTTTATTCTTTGCTATATTATCATTGTATGTATATTCCACTTCATAGTGTTTTAACCCAAGTCCTAAGTAATTCTTGTGTGATATACAAGTATTCATTCACTATTAACTTTGTCTTTTATTTACCTATTCTGAATACTACTTATCTGTGATCACATTTAATGCTTTTCATATATTAACACCATTTTTATATATATATATCCCTGGGGCATTTGTAGGTAGGGAGACTCCCAATCACTTAGAAACATGAGCTTTGTATACTTTTTTTTTCTGTGATGATCATTACTGTGTTGTTTTTTTTTATTAATATATGTGATTATCTCCCTTTACTTGTAATATAATATGTTATTGTTATTTTTACATATGTTTGTCGCAATGATAGCTTTCAAGAGCTAATGTTCCTTGTTTACCCGTATGCGACGTTAAATAAAGTTTCTTGTATCTTGTATAGAACACTTAATGGCAATAGGCAATGTGATTTTTTGGGTTCTCATAAAAAGGAAAAAAAGTTTTCTCCATTGTTGTATTCTAGCACCTTATGATTACTTAACAAAATATGTTTGGAAATAACTAACAATACCAAATTTTTACTTGGAAGTTTATAAATAAATATTACGACACTTTTTAATTTTTCACTATTAATACAATCCACCTTCTTAACACTATGACAACATAATTATTCTTCGGGCCTAAATGTTTGGTTTCCCGAAAAACAACACTTCGTTGATACATTTTAGAATATTTTATTGTATAGGTTTTACATAGAAAGGGAAATAGGCAACAGGCAAAAAGCCCTCTCCTTAAAATATAAACAGTATATACACATAATGAAGTAGAAACATACAGCCATTATAAAGATATAGAAGTAGAATATGAAATTATATTCGATATTATTGAATCACAAATTATTAGTACATGTAATATGAAGCGGTTGCTACAAATAACGGCCAGTCGGTCAGACATGAACTGGAGACTAGCCGAGACAAATCGTCCGTAAACTCACACCATTATGAGCTGAAACACCAGGACAAGTCGACCAATACCCCCTAAGACAAATATACTTATGAGAAAGTAAGAACAATGTAATAAAACGTTTCATATCATAAATATATCTCTGAATCGCTTCCATAGTACAAATATTCAAATAACGTCAAATAAATATGCAATGGAATGTCATCTTTCAGTTCAGATATGGAGTTAATGAGGGCTAGTCTTTGGTTCATATACAAAAATAACAAAGGAAGAAGAAGTGATTACAGTCTTCAATGGGATAACCACAAATACAGGCATGGCTATCGTTAAAGTGCGTATAAAATAGATGTGAGTTCAAATGACTACCAAGACTCCTTCATAGGGCTATATTAACTTTTCAGACACCATGGTATCTAAAAACAACAGTACACGAATTCGTGGATTACGAGTACCCACTCAAACAGGGAATTGCTTTACATCAAACTTGTAATTACATCGTGGACCTATGCATTCGTGGATGAAGATTACCAATGAAATCAACGAAATTAAAAACCTTTTAAAAAGTAGTGATTTCACAGTAGATTAAGGGGTGTTTTGAAGCCATGCAATGAACATGAATGCAGGCTAACCTGTTACTTGTTGTGTTCCTTCTAATCAAATCAAGAGTTTTATTTTATTTTATTCAGGACATGTATGTGTTGCATCTCTCTGAAACAGAAATAAATAAATGTTTGTCAACATCCTATTGCACGATATAAACCGATTTCCATGCGCCATTTCTCATCACACGTATTCCGAATGATTCTTAATCCTTATTCCGTTTGTGTTGGGTTTCCATCCACGAGGACACCGTTACAGATCGTTCCATTTTTGGAATAGCGTCAAGGAGGGTGACGTGGAGGGCAACCTTACTGGCTCCGCTCATAGCGGCCTTAACAACGAACCCCTCACCTATTAGCTGATAATGACAGGGTATATCGTCCGTCTTCCAGGTTTTAGCGTTCACATTTTGTTTCTTTTCAAAATTGATAATCATTTCTTCTCGAGTTTCCGTGTCCATATCTTCCAACGTCTTCCACTGTAGTCCAAGAATATTTGATCCAACTAAGGGGTTACTGAAGAATATACATGCGATCTGGCCGGTTCCCTCTATCAGATATGTCACCAGTCCTACAACGCCCCTAAGAGTCCATGGGGTTTTGTACAGCAGGTTGTCACTCGATTTACCGGAAGGGATCACCGGGAATTCGTTGAACAGCTTTCCTTTGGACAGTCTAACTTCCGGTTGTAATAGTGCCCGGCTGTTGAGTTGATTTGAGACTCTCATTTCAATTGTGTGCTTTGCCTGAAAAATGCAAAAGATTGATATAAGTTTGTTTCTGTTCTAAATTCCAAATAAACAACAGTGCTTGACAAAAAACATAGGTCGACAATGGGAATTTAGATCTTTGATTTATTTTATATTCTTTGTTGGACCCTATTTAACTTTTATATTTAATTATTGTCACCAATAAGCCACATATATCCTTTTTTTTCGAAACCTATCTACCAAATACATACCTAAATGACCATGTGTTTTTGTGTCTCTGAACGAAATATTTCATTTTGCAACTGTTTAATCGTGGTTCACAGTGTATATCATACCAAATATCTTTTTTTAGCCCATATAACCTTGTTTCATAGTCTCTATACCATTTCTGTATTTGAACTCGTATGACGTTATGTCTCAGATCTTTTAACAAATATATTTCAACCCGTATAACATTGCGAGTCGTAAGGAATGTAACCATTATTACCAGTCGTGGCTAAGATATAACCGATTACAAATCAAATGTGTTACCTGCTCAAAACCCGTACGTCATTGTACGTAGGTGTTCACGTCATAATCAACATACAACCCATACGTTTAACGCTCTCTAGATCTTTTCATCTCGTAAAAGTGTCATCATATGTAGTTGTAATCACCTAAATTACTCTTCTCAGTGTGTATGTCCCAGATATACTAAATCTGCACACCCTTTGTGTTGATATTTTTGTAACATTACATCTTGCAATATGGCAAAAATGTACCACAGCGCAAATATGTATAACGGCAACATTTACCACAACATAAATACACAACGAATAATACAATACAATATATTGATATACAAGGATAACTTCTACAAGCCGAGACACAGTAAATAACAGCGTCGACACATACCGATAAATGATACACCAGCGTCAATGTGCATGGACAAAAGATATGATACCAACACACAATACAAAAATACCATACGTACATCACTTTGTCAACGCACAATGACAAACTATATCGCAGTGTCGACACACGGGGGGAAAATACCAAAACGTCATCACACAAGGGCAAAATACACCTCAGCGTTCAACACAATATAAAATTCTTTTTACTGAAGAAGCCTTAGGAGAAATCAAAACCAATGCAAGCTGGTTACAAAGCAATTAATAGCTTACGGGACTTAAATGCTGTCCAAAATGAATATATCATGTTTCATGTTTATTTTGTTTACAATTATAACAACATATCTTACCTGTATCACTTCCTCCCAATGCTCGAAAGCAGCATTTTGCATCTCATTTCCAAACAGGAAGTTTCCAATACAGCTCGTCATGGCGACAGGTGAACGATGTCAAGTTTCTGGGTACCTGGCGTATTTACCTGTCTACCAAAGTAAAAGATTTACCTGTCTACCCAGGCAACATGGTAAGTGATACCTTCATTACATGACGACGTTTTGTGACAATATATCTAACGCATAGTTAGTTTTGTAGTTGGTATTTAATCTCATTTATGCTTCAAAATCTGAACTATGAAATGTATTATCAAATAAGTGATATCAAACTTAATCATCTATTTTTGGTTTACTTGATGCAAGTATTACATTTATTCACATATGATCACTGAGGTTAATCCTCCAAAGCCAACATAACTTGGAAAACAATCAGTGCCCGTTTTGGACTTGATTTAAACGGATCCTTTATTGTATTAAGAGATCAGTTACCAAACCGTGCCGTTATCATGATATACATACAGAAATAAGTACGGAAGTGGCTCTAGACATAGCTTACTAGGAGGTACGAGTATTAACTGGTCTGCTTGTTGCAATTGTATACATCTTTTTGATTTAGAGTCACAATATTAAAACACAACGGAAAATATAGTATTGTATCTTCAATCATTCTTTGTCATTATAAGGTAAACCATAACGAATAGGTACTAAATACGGCGTGTCAGAAAAGAGAATTAGTAATTATAAACGCTGTACAGAAATTCCCTCTCTTACGCCATGCAATGGCGCATCAGGCCTACTGATATGCCTAATGTCTTATATTAAGATCAGCATCAATCATGTTTAAACGCCGAGATTTCATTACAAGGTAAAAATACCATAACCAAAGCTTCAACACAAAAGGACAAAACCGAACGTCCAAGAAAATACCAGAAGAACATTACACACTGTGATCAAACGCTAAAACAAAGCATATATAAAGTGTAAGGGATAGTACTTGCACGTGAGAGCACAAAAACGAGATTACCTGTACAAACAGTAAATACAACACAGAGAGCCGCTAAAAGGGTCGACATTCTTTACAGTCAAACCACATTAAAACACAAAAACATCGACATAACGAATAGTAAATACTCGCTTAAAACAAAATATCGATATTAGGAACAGTGAAAACACAAAAACATCGACATAACGAATAGTAAATACTCGCTTAAAACAAAATATCGATATTAGGAACAGTGAAAACACAAAAACATCGACATAACGAATAGTAAATACTCGCTTAAAACAAAATATCGATATTAGGAACAGTGAAAACACAAAAACATCGACATAACGAATAGTAAATACTCGCTTAAAACAAAATATCGATATTAGGAACAGTGAAAACACAAAAACATCGACATAACGAATAGTAAATACTCGCTTAAAACAAAATATCGATATTAGGAACAGTGAAAACACAAAAACATCGACATAACGAATAGTAAATACTCGCTTAAAACAAAATATCGATATTAGGAACAGTGAAAACTCAAAAAACATCAACATAAAGAATAGTAAATACTCGCTTAAAACGAAAGACCGATATTATGAACAGCTTTAATCAAAAGGATTTATTATGGACTGTTAAAAACAAGTAAAAACAAAGGGAACGGTATTAGAGGACGGTCCATACTTAAAAATATACTGTCATTAAATCTTCACAATAACAAAAGTTTCTTGACAACGCGATTATGTACGTCAGGGCTTCCGTACATACGTACGTAGCAAAACACATATTGATATGTATGTATCCAAAGCCAGTTGACCGATTAGCACGCATGCGTATTGTATTGATTTAGCGGACAATACACTGTATAGATTATACATTATGGTAGTACTTGGTACTGACATTGTAGTTAGGCCGCCATTAGTATCGGGTAGATTAGTGGTTGATACACCTTATTATGTACACGTAATGAGGACAACAAAGGCTGCTTAACATCAATAGGACGACCACTGTATAACGGTATAACAAAGCATGGGCTAAGGTAGTATGGTAGTTTATAACACTATCAAACGTACATTGTGTTACTGTGGCTATACTCCAAGTACTTCTAACAATTCACATTTAATTGTAGACCACACCCTGTGCATATTACGGGGGACGCTTTTCTAATGTCCAATTCTTTTTTATTTTTTTTTACATTTAAAATAATGAGAACCCTTGAATAATTGGTGAAATAATTGACTTTTTTGTCAGAAGAGTTGTTAGTGTTGAACACCCGGAAGCATCATACGTTATCATTGATCTCCACTTACAGGACAAAGGGCAGGCTAAAAGTGACCCCTGTTACCCCATTAGAACACTTGGGGTATAACTTTACATTGACAACTGACGTCATACTATGTATATGTTGCTAAGACTTGAAATCCAAAGCAAATAGACACAAATCAATACAATTTTAATGGAATAAAAAAAAGTATTTATAATCATTACTTGTATTACATATTTAACACAAGTAAGAGGTATGCAATTAAAATGAAGATTAACTATAAAGAATAGCATAATATCCGCCTTAGTTTCAAATTAACTAATTAAGACGAGAGTTGAATAAACATGTAATAGATACAAATGTTACCAACCGTTGCCAGGGGGTCACGTGTATAAGTTCGGAGAAGGAAACGTTTAGGTCTGCTGTTTATTACGTCATACCATCATAAGAGGAGACTATTGTGGACCCCCTGCGGAATTGGTGGGTTCTCTTCTTATTTTCCGGTAAAGGAACTTAATTTCCCCTAGTTTCAGCGATTTTTTTATTTCAAATTACTGTTATGTTCGTGCCAACCCGAAAAAACAGTTGACGTATGTTAATGCAATATCTAGAGTGAAGTCATGAGAACAACTTGCATTTTAATTAAACTTCTTAACGTCTACAGTTGGCATAGTCAAACAAGACTAAAATTCATTGATCCTAAATATCACAGATTAATTAACGGTTTGAAAACAAGCAGCTGTGACAATAAGTAAGTTTAACTGTTAAAGGTATGTACTACACTACCTTAAATACTCTATGTGGGATTTGTGCTCAGATTTTTCTATCTCGTTCAGAATAACCTTTGTATTACCTATAAACAAGCTTTGTAATATCTTTTTATCGTTTATATTGTTTCATGTAAGAACTAACCAAATCAATTAAACCCTTCATAAAGCATGTTGTACTGGTTTCTTGTTCTGTTAAGTTTGGGAAAACGAATAGGCTAAAAACAATAAAGGCAATAACACAAAAAGATCAGAGCAAGAACTAGGTGCTCCAGCGTATAGTCGTCGGTTAGATATGCCATGATGTCCTCTGTCAAATCCTTGCGAGTAGGCAGGTCATCCGAAAACTACAAGAGAATATGGAAGTATCAACGAAAACGTCAGTCGGTAAACTAGGGCATGACCAAAGGAAAGGTCTCTAAGGAGCCCATTGAAACATACAAGGAGAGTAAGACCAGGTGTTCCGGAAGGGAAATCGTCTTCTGCTTTATCGGCGACACCGGCCATGTTAATCGAGATCAAATCAAAACAAAGAGTGACGTCCTCATACGGAGAACTGGGGGAATGACAATAACAGAAGGCGGCACGCTAATGAACAGAATCAAAAGCATCGATCTTCACAACACACAAAGAAACATCATATTAGCCAATAAGATCGTGATGGCGACCATGAAACCTGTCCAGAGTCTTCATCAACCTGGATCATTACATCTTAACATCATCGAAGTGACTAAAAGTCTTAAACGTGAGGCTAATATTTTCTGACCAATGACGTTCCTTTGTTGTATCAAGGAACAGTGACTACTTCCTTGTGCAAGTCATTCCGTAAACTATGAACCACATCAATACATTCTCTCCAAACTATTACAAAAGGGTTATAAACTCTGGTGAATGTTATCAACACGCTACTTCCTGTATCCCAGAAAGTTACTTCATCCAGTATTGAAACAGACTGCCGTTAACCCAATCAGCGCGAGTTTGTTGTATCTAGAACGCTGTTATAAACAATGGGTTCTAAGTCTGGTGTAAAATCGTTATCAATAAAACACTGTATGTTTGAAATGTTATAGAATATCGTTCAAGATGTTTACCAATTTGTTAACGCGATTAACCAACGTGAATATAATTAAGTTAAATTAAATTACCAATACAGGATATGTATGAACGTTTACACCGGACTCAAACATGTCCGTGTGTGTTGTTTTTCGCTTTACATCGACTTCGAGTTGTGACTTTGTTAGAGTGTGTACTGAACCGCTTGTCGAAACATTCGGTTTGGTTTGGTTTGATTTAGTAATGTTTAACGTCCTATCAACAGCTATGGTCATTTAAGGACGGCCTCCCCTGTGTGCAAGATGCATGCGTGTAGTGTATGCGTGTGTGTTTTGGGAGGCTGCTATATGTTCGTGTTTGTCTCCTTGTGATAGCACGGAACTGATGCCGACTTTATAGTGCTACACGCTAAAACATACTGCCGAGGACAACCAGCAGGACACCCCACCCGTTCGAGACATTCGGATTATGATAAATGCATTTAAGTGAAAATCAGGAATAATGATCGACTCTGTTGAAAACTTCATATTTACATTAAAACATCAGTTCTACCCAAATGAACATTAATAATTTAATATTTTTTCCATGATATTAAGCATTGCGGAAGATTTGGACTTTGCTTTTTTCTCCACACTGTAAGTGTTGCTGTAAGTTTTAAACACCTGGCCAGTGTTTTAAATCCCCCCAGTAATGGTAGTCATATGTGCACATGAAGGTTTAACACGTCGAAACCATCCAAACTCTTCAGCTTCAATTTTATGTGGTCGACTTATGACAAAATTCCGTAATTCTGACGATTTCATGTAGATTTTTGCTTTTTTATTGAATTTTTTATATACTTGCCTTTAAGATATAAAATTTGTTAGATGCATTTGTAAGAATTCGAGAGCATGATATGTAAAAAGATTTACGCAATAAAACTGCGAGAGGTTTGATAGTAACTCGATAGCAACACAACTGATATGTATACCTGTAAGCCTTGTCAGCTTCGTCTTATCTTCTTCAATATTTAAGTTCCACCCTGATTGACTGAATAGAACTTCGCTCAAGATTCTTACTCTGTTGCTATATGTATTGTACATTGCTGCATATATTTAGAACATATATACTGCAACATCAACTTACTGGCGATTATATCCAAAATGTAATTTTAAAAAAATCATCGAGTCGACAATACTTTCAGAAGATTCACGCTGTATGTCATAGACACGTGGCCAAACGTTTATTAAGTCCGTTAAACTACATTTTATGGTAAAACTGAATACAAAAAAAAACTGTTGTAACTTTCTTTAATGATCCCGTTTCTACCTTATTTACGACTATGTGTGAAGTAACTATATAGCTCTAGTTAATTTCATTTATTACCCGCTCCTTATTTAACTTCAAAAAAAGGCATGCTCTCTGGTTTACTGTTCCGATCTGGGTCACTCAGATGTAGGTCATATAATATGGCTAATTACGAAGGAGTTCATATGATCGAGGATATTAAAAACTAGGTCATATGAATTAAGGATATAGGTCAAATGAATGCAATGGTTGCTACTATGAACTGTTGTAATGTTCATGTGGGTTTTACGATATGTTTTGAAAATTATGTTTTGAGTGAGATTGTATAGATTAAAATACGATAATTACTGAACACAGGTGGGTGCACACCAATCGGAAGCTTTATTAAATGATGGCAGATCACAGAACAACAAAACACTTTTCCTTTTCATCAGAAAACATGTATTAGACGTACATTATATTACCTGGATTCTACAATTCTATTACGACTTACTTTTCAAACTGTTTATTTAATTTTTCGTACACTTCTTGATGTAAACTTTGATGTGAACGTTCAATGCCACAGGGGTTAAATATGTAAAAAAAATAAACAACTTAAACTGACGTCTTAAGATCCGTATCCGGGTTCAGACAATTGTTGATATTCTTTTATATTGAGTTTACACACAGACTGAACAGAACTGCCTTTAAATGCCATTTAGTATATTGTTACATGGTTGTAATTCTTAACGATGTT